CTGAACTGTATTGATAGCAGTCTTGTAGGGGTAGTCCAGCCTGAGGAAAGCACTGGCAGCGTTCGTTATTGTCCTTCATTTGTCACAGAAGCTGATGGGAAATCATTCAATTAAAAGGAGTGCAGCAGAATACACAAAATCTCAATATGAGTTTAGGAGAATGAGGGCAGCACATCAAAGGCATGCCAAAGCCCAGCTTTATGAAATGATTTTTTTTTTTCATTTCCACTGATTTCCTAGGTGAAATTAGGTGACTGTCTGGCTAGCATAATGATGATAAGGCTGGGAAACCCTACATACTCAAATGACATACGTATAGTTTTAATAAAGGATGAGGGAGACTTGAGGGAGTGCATTAAATTGAGTAATAATTTATTATTTAGAGACCTCTACCCATTTACTCATTTTTTCTGGGAGAATTGCCTCTTCCTCCAAGGTGTAGGCCACTTTTAGAGAGGGGGGAGAAGGTAGAAGCTGGTGCCTCTGCCGCAGTAGCTAGCTGGCAAAGCCAACTTCAGCGACTGCCTGCAGCCGAGCGCCCCGGCTACCTATCCTGTTGTTGAGCTCCTCAGTAAACATGCTGGGAGAGGGAGAGGGGGAGAGTTGACAGGGCCTTGCATGTCCTATAGGAATGCACTGCAATTATTTCCAATCACAATTAACCTGATTAGAATAATGGACAGGAAGTGTCCCTCTGTAGCTAATGCAGTTTGGCATCAGCTGACTGAAATCCTTTGATAATTTCTGCACAGATGGCTGGGCTGAAAGCAGCACTTTTTTAATTATTATTTTCATGGTCTCTTGGTAGGCCAAAACCTCGACACCAACAACAGACCTCCCTATTAAGGCGGACGGCGCCAACGTCAACATCACAGCTGCCATTTATGACGAGATCCAACAGGAGATGAAAAGGGCCAAGGTATCTCAAGCCCTGTTTGCCAAAGTGGCTGCCAATAAAAGTCAGGTGAGTGGTAGAGGGGATTTCGTTCTTGCGGGGCTTTTGGGGGTTTTGTTTTTAAAGCAAACTCTGGGGTTGGAACTAGACCCATCTCCTCCTCCCACCAATAAAAATACATCTGTTCCTACAATAATAATAATCTTCATCTCTGGGGAACCTGTCGTGTTTTTGGCTTTTGCCTGCTTAAGTGGTTTCCTTTTCCCTTTTAAAATAGGCTGAGGAAAGGATCAGCTCACAGCCAAGCTTTTTCTCTCCTTTTGTACAAACACTCATGTCTTTTCCCACTTGCGGTATATAACTTACACCTCTGATAGTGGGACAAGGACCTTTCAAAATGATGGTATCTTTCTCATTTGGCAGGTAAAGAAATTGTTTTCTTAAATGATTAACTGAGGGAAGGCAATGGGAAACCGCATATTAGGCAGGTGTTTCCTTTTCTTTGCATGTTGCATGTGCTGCATACGGTATTGCCATGTGAATAATTCAGATCAGATCCAATCATTCTTACAAAAAGGCATGAGAGGGCACTGCAGTGAGTTCTCCTGGATTAATTTCCACCTTGGGTGTAAAAAATAGATGCGGGCAAACCTAGGTCGTGTGAAATTCTTGAAGAGAATCCATTCATTTAAAAATTTCATCCAACTCTTTAAAAAAAATGTAATGTACCAGCAGGGTTTTTGTGGAAAGGAGGGCAGACAGAATTTTTTGTAGGAAGGGCGGCAAGTGGATTGGAGACCGTTGGAAGGAATTGTTTACTCAGTGAAAAGGGCTGCTTCTGATCCTGGATGAAATTACTCCATTGTGCTAGGAGAGGGCATCAATATGCACACAAAAATGCACAAATGTGTCTGTGACAATGAGAGAGTGGGATAGAAGTGTCTAGATGCATGCACTCTGCAAAATACATGCTTTCTTTTCCTCTGTGCAGGGAAACAACATTGCAGTCATTAAAGTAGATGCAAAATAAGAGGTTGAAAGGCATATAAACAAAGCATCAAAGGCTATCAAAGCACATGGGAGAGCCTTGTCCTTGTTATAGGTATTTGTGCCCTGACACATGGAGGTCTGATTCATTTTTTCTTCTTCATTTAATCGTTAATTTTCTTTGCCTTTTGCTTTCTCTTGTCAGGGTACAGAGGTTACAGTCCAGAACCCCTCTACCCCCCAACAAAATCCCAGGCGCAGTATGAAATACATAAAAGGAAAATACCATGGAACCCTCTTAAACTGTTAAATGCATAAAAATCTCATGTACCACATGGCAAAATATAATGAGAACTGGAGCTGTTAAACGAATAAAGCTGTTAAAAGCATAATGCCACTTGGCACAACTACTGTGCATTTAACGGTTTTCCACTGTGTAATAAATGACATATGTGGTAAACGTGCAGTAAATATAAAAACTGCACAATTGATTTTGCAAACGTGCCCCTTATTCTTTACTCCATGCAGATATCAAAGTTCCACCCAGAATCCGGACTGGACAGCTTTTAATAAGGAGTGTTTAACACAGACTGAATGCCAGTCTCTCTGAGGTTTGGCTTAAAATTGCTTGCAAGCTTCCTGTCATTATACCCAGAGGCTTCTTGAAATAGAGAGGGACTGAACCACCCAACAATAATTTGGGTGGCTCACCAGCTTTGGCCTGTGCCAGCTTGAGCGCGCTTCTCTGGCAGCATTGCACACCAGCACCAAAACAAAAATAAGCTCCATAGTCTTTCACGCGGAAAAAGAACAGGGCAGATTTTGAAAGCCAGATGCAAAAGGTTAAGAACAGGATCCACAAATGGTATTGTTTAAAGCAAAGTTACTGCGCAGAAAGGTTTTGTTTCTTCAGCAGCAGCAAATAAAGAAGTGTTTCTGAGGCTGATGTTTCTTTGTTTCACATCCTTGCCAAAGCAATACTGGCTCCCTGGGATGACCCAGCGTTCACCATGCTGAGATGTCATAGTGCTCTGCTGGAGCATGAAAGTGGTTTATGGGGGCACTGGAAGGCAGGCACAGAGAAGACGTAGCCAAGAACTGTAGCAGTACGGGGCCTCCCTCTGCCCCAAAGCCCACCTGCGTGCCTGCCCCCAGCCCGGCTTGGTGTGCCTGTGGCGTGCCATCGCTGTCTGGGGTGCCCCGTGGCCAGGAGGAGTGCCAAAAGCAAGGACACAGCTGCTTGCGTAGGGGAGAGCCTCCAGCATGGTGGGATGGTCAGCATGTCGCCTTAGGTCTAGCTTGTGTAAAAGCTAGCGGTGGGGCTTTCCCAGCACTTTATGCAGGCCAGTTGTGCCAGTCGTGGGCACTTCTGGTGAAGATGCTGCTGATTTCAGCAGCTGAGTTACATGGTGGGAAGCGCTCATTGAAAACTGCCCATGTTTGCAGAAGAGAGAGTTTGAAAGAGGGGAAAAAAGAGCTAGTCTGAGGGTTTGCTTGGACTCTCCGCCAAGGTTTGTTCACTTGCTGTTCTCCACAGGCCTGGCTTGTGTTGCGTTGGCTTCCTCTATTATTCCCTCACCCCAGACTACTGAGAGGCTTCCAGTTTGCTAACAAGGCATGTGTTATGTTGGGCGCTGCTGTTCTGTCAACAGCAATCCACGGTGCTGTGAGATCTTCACAGTTTTAGCAGCCAGTGAATCTCCGACAGGGCTGTTTTGACATTTTATACACAGGGCTGTATGTCATGTACCCGAGAGAGCATCCAGAGCCAATGGAGGCCTCATTTCGTCTTCTGTCTTCGTACAGGAAGAGTGGTACCCACTGAGAGCAGTTATTGCAAGCGGCATCATCTACTGGTGGAGTTAATTGACCTCTAATTTAACAAGTAGCCATCTTTATTCTTAAGTCATGGCAGAGTCTCAGTTCAGCAACTAAAGGGAAGGGCAGCTGCTAGAAACTGAGGTTACAAATCACAGAGCTCACAAGTCAACATAAATGCAAGGAATGTGGCCTCATGGAGGTACCAAGGTAGTATAGTGAGATTTCTTTAAGGGAATCTACCTTTGTAAAGATCTCAAGCCATTCATTTTAGACACTGACTTATTCATCACTTATTTACTTTAATATGCATTTTATTCCTTGCAACTTATATCTAGACATTTTTAGTCTTGTTTGAGAAGTGCTGTGCATCCCTTTGTATTTTTGAAGGCAGCAGGAGCTGAGGGGCTCAGTGTCCTCCAAACACAGTCTCCAAAGCTGTCATCCTGTTTCAGTTGCCAGCTGTTAGTGGAGTACCCGCTGGACAGCATGCTTCTCTGGGGATGCCACCTGCTAGTGCCCTTTGTCCTTTAAATGGGTAAACCTGGGAACTGCATTACCACGTTGGGAGTGTTTCTGAGTGTGGCTGGAACACCAGGATTTGGTTTCCAATCTGTGCTTTGGGCTCTCCTGATTATAGTTGAATCACAAGGAGATGGGTTTCCAGTGTGCCATTTTGGAGTGGTTCGGATGGCCTGTGTGTCTCCAGAGCTGGGCAGTGGGACAGGAAGAGACTTAGACCTTGGGTTGCTGCAGGTTTGGACTGTTGGTCGTGGAAGGTGGCTTCTGTGTCCAGTTCTGCCACTGCTCTGCAGTACGACTTCAGGAAAACCATTTCCCCCGCGACCATGTGCCAGTGCTTCTGTAATGCTTTGCAGCAGCATCACCCCTCTGACGTCTGCTAGTGAGAGTCCTAGCAGGGGCTGTGCTGTTTTGTTCATAGTTGTGCAATGTACGTTTAGGAATATAGTTCTGTTCACAATAAACAGTCACTATCAAAATAAACAGTGGGCGTAGCTGGCTGGAGCCCCTGTTGGCAGTCTGAGGGAGGGCAAAGTTTGTATGAACATGGAGACTGAACTTGCCATAGTTCTCCCAGGGCAAGAGATTCTCCTTAATCAGGCTGGGGCAGTGTGGGGGAGTGGGGTATGTGCTGCTGGGGATCTGCCCCAGGCAGGGTAAACGGAAGAGTTTGACCTTCACCAGTCCAGTGAAAACAAAAAGTAAACCCTTGAAACTGAAATTCTTCCTCAAGGGACTGGAATTTGTTCCAGTTGCACCACAGTAAAACAAGAGAGACTCCATGGAGCAGCATTTGAAAAAACATTAAGCTGGCAAAGGTCAGTCTCTGGTTCATATCTTTGCCCTGTTTAAAAATGAACAAATGAAAAATAAACTTGACCGGGGGGCGGGGGAGGCTGGGAGCAGAAATGCCCTTCAGTTGAGGTCATTCGGGTTAAGAGAAATGTAGGACTATGGATGGAAACCATTCGACAGTTCCTCACCTTTCCTCTGACTTCTCATGTTCGTGTTGAGATCCCTGCCTCATTGCTAGGATTGTCTGGGAGCCTCTTCTCTGCGCAGGGCAGGTGTTAGCCCCGCAGTAGGAGCCCACACTAGATGGGTCTCAGCACCGTGCCCACCTGCCCATGCCCTCACCTCCTGCTCATGCTCCGAGAAGAAAATAGAGGTCCTGCGAGAGGGATGAGCAGCGTCGCTCTGGGGCAGGGTTAGCTCTAGAAACCCCTTATTTTGTCCTTTCCTCTCTTTCTCTC